CCCCAAAACCCCAAAACCCCAAAACCCCTTTGCAACATAGCATTTTGAAAATTATTAAAGATGTAGGAATTATTGGCCAATACTAAGCTTAAGTTCTCGTAAATATACCTCAGGAATCGGGCAAACAAAATGCTTTGAGTCCTGATCATAGCAAGAGAGTAGATTCAATAGCTTAGATTTGGAATACGACAAGTTCGTCCTAGCTTTATTTTGTTTGAATAAGATTGAAATAATATCGTAAACAAGAGCCCCTTCCTCCTCTGTATCATAAGATCCGATGTATGTCTTAACTTTATTGACCATCATAAGTACCTGCCAGCTTGCTCCATTTCTGGAAACACCTCTGTATCCTGATCTTCTTTTAGTTTTTCTATTACGTTTGAAATAATTCGCTTTTATCTTTACGATGAAGTTATATTTATCATCAGTGATGGTATCTAAGAATGTGTACAGCTCAGTAATTTTCTGCCGAAAGATTTCTTCTTTGACACCTTTGACACCTTTGACTTCTTTCTTCTCCTTCTTGGGGATTTGTTCTGTATCTTCCTTATCAGCTGTAGGTTGAGAGTTTTCTGAACTGATCTTCCTCATTTTGTAACTCCCATTAAGAGAAAAATCCAATTTAGGGGAGTTCAAGTGTTGACTTTTAAATTCGTTCATACCTATAAAGAAATCTTAAATATGCACTTAGAGTTACAAAAATTAACTAAAGGATACTTAACTCTGATTGATGGACAATAAAACCTTCCTTCCCAAATGAGCCGTTTTCGATACAGAATTGGCTTGGATACAAAGCAATGCTTTAATTATGTTCCTTTTAAGAAGTTTCAGAATAGATACATAAAAGTTGTCAGAAAGTATACTTATATTTACATTATCGACAAGTGAAAGCTAGCATTATTTTATGTACAAAAACTACAATGAGCTTTATTTCATTAATCTCCATCTATTGGATAAGTCTCTTACCTGCAAACAAGAAGTGTTGTATATCTTCCTCTTGTTGGGCACATTGTTTAACTCCTTGAGAGGAGTTCATCTCTTCATTGTAACCAGATAGAGGCTGAAACCTTATACATTTGGGAACAGGAAGGACCCTCGATGGGAATACATCCGGAAGTACAGGTCTTTCACAATCAAATATATTCATGTCTTAAAAATTAATTATTAAAATCTTAAAAATCTTTCTTTTATAGTGATTCCAGAAACGTCGAGAGTCCCGTAACCATTATGTGAGTGTATAACATTTTGAAAATTAGAAGGTTGAAGAGACCTATGGAAGATTTTAGGAACACCAAAAGGTGTTCTAAGAGATTTTTTCACTCTAAAGAAGCTATTCACCTTCTTAAACCATTCAATCTGAAATTATTGGACTGCCTTACTTAAAATACACTTGTGTATCTTAGAATTAATTTTTAGCAAAATGAACAATTGTATAACTGCAATGAGGAGTTGTTGAATAGCAAGATTCAGCATATTAAAATTTTATTACACATCTGATGAAAATTTCCATAGGTTTAGCAAGGGTACTGTTATCTTGGTATGATCACTAAACCTCTAATTGAGTACTTTCTTTGGTGAAAATCTTGTTGATTATTATAACTCCAAGACTTGACGATAGATGAAAATTCAACCAATAATATTTCAGCCTTGCTTGCGAAAACATTGAGTCTCAGGAATTTATGCCTAGAGACCCAGCAAAGGCAGAATTGCCATCCTTCTTAATGAAAATTATAAGATTTTATTGCATAGTTACACAATAGAGCAGATTAGACTATATTTCTGTTTTAATATCTGTTATATTTTCGTCTTAGTTCATACTCAAAATTTAGAGATTTTAGACATGAAAAGATCAACAAGAGCTTATCTGATACGAAAGAAGGGAAATATTTCCAAGGAAATGCACCTGGCTAATAATTCTATAGTTTTTGAACGAAGTAAATTTGTCACTTTTCTGAGCATAATTGGTAACTGCCTTATTTACTTCTGTTCAATAAGTTGTACTTAGATTATTACCTCTAGATGCTTTCAGAATCCCTCTGGAGCATTAAAAATACTCTTTAGCGAGCAAGTAGCTATGAATAGCATTTGTCATATCAAACCCAGACTTGGATAATTAAAACTACCCAATTTTATGAATAGTGGCAATGTTTGCTACAAAACTTCGGAATATGGTAGTTTAGATTAACTAATCGTGAAACGCATCGGATAAGCAGAAGCCGCCCTCAGATTAAAACTCACCACTATCTTCCAGGCTATATTTAACGCTTCAAAGCAAACATATAGCATCAAAGGCAGTTTATTAACAAAATGGAAGGAATAAGATTTCTAAGGTTTTCTAAAGAAATTTTAATTAATTTATCTCAAATTTTTGAAAAATCCCTACATGTTTCATACTAATCTACAGTAAGACAAAGAGGCTCTGTTCTTTAGAATCTCTTAACTAAGGATCTTGCTTTCTTCAGGTCTACTTCTAAAGTCTCTTGAATAGTAATGAGAATAGAGTATAAAGACTTTAACACATTTCTTGTTTACTTAAAACTGCTAAATATGCTCCGAAATCCTCTAATTTGTAAGTAAATTTATTTGATAAAGTACTTATAGTAATCTCTTTAAAGTTCCTTTGTAAATATGGCAGAACTCTTTTACATGTAGACTTCTATGAACTCTGTCTAATTAGTAAAGCTCGAAGTAAGCTAAGAATAGCTCATTATTAGCATCCTTAAAGGCAGGAGAATAATTCTGATATCTTTGAGTTTATGATAGAGCCTATGGGCCTAAAATCGGCTGTCAGTAGAGGTAGCTTGAGAGCTATCTTCATAACTTTACGAAATGTATGTTGGAGTCAATCTAGCATCAGGTATTAAATTATGTATAGAGTCATATTCATGGATCCAGTCTCTAAAGATGGTAGAAAAATGTGTTATGTATTTTGATGTAATCACAATTTTTATGAAATTATTGCAAATATTTTCCCCGAAAATGACAATTTAGTTTTTTTAATTTGGCTTAGCAAATTTCTAGAAAATAAACAAGATATTGGGATTTTTGAGCATGATAATAAAGAAGAGGAGGCCTTTTGAAGTTTTGTTGGACATCTACTACACTCTAAAACTTTTTGTAGAAAATTACAAGAATACATTTGGGCTCTTTGAGAAATGGGTCTTGAGACTCCAGTAGGATTTTCCCTTTTGTTGACAAAAAAATTGAAAACCAAAGCTCTTTTGTTTATGCAAGATTGAACAATAGTTGAAAAGAATTTATGACTAGGAAGTCTATTATCTTCAAAAGCCTCAAGATCGCAATTTTCAAACATAATTTGATTACTGAGCATTGATTATTAGTTCCCCTCTGGCATCCAGAAACTCAGCCCTTCTTAACAAAATAAAAAATTGCTCTCATACTTTAGTATTTTTTTCTCAGTATTTCCGACTCTAAACATAATTAAAAAGACCTGAGAGTCTATTTTAAGATCCGATAGCTTACTAAACAGTTGTCATTATTATATGCCAACAAATCTTTATCTTCAAACTTCATTAACCCCAATTTTCTCATGTTCATTGCTATAGGTCCTTGTACTGACTCCAAGAGTAAAATAAAATGCTGAGAATTATACTCCTCAGCTTCCTAATAAAGCAGTGCTTGCCTGGGATGAATGCCAGTCTTGCATTTTAGCCATAAACTGTCCTTATTTACTTTCTGTATTAATTGAAGCTATGTAGAATAAGAAGTTAACCTTATGCGTCATTGAGCAATTGCTGAAGAAATGGGGGAGATACAGAGAATTATTGGCTCCATAAAGCAAGTGTTAAGAGGACCAACTTAGACCTAAGATTAGGGCACTTAGATGACGAGAAATAGTGAATATATTGATCCTAGAAGGCCAAATTTAACCTGTTGATTACTCAAATTCTTGGTTAAGATTTGGGGTTTTGGGGTTTTGGGGTTTTGGGGTTTTGGGG